CAGAAGGTGCACTTGCCGAGCACGTCGAGCATGTTGTGGAAGGTAGCAGCTGCCTCTCCAGGTACTCCTGTAGGGCCTGCGTCGCCGATCACGGTGCAGGGCGTGGCGGGAAGCAAGCCGTCCTGGACGTAGTGGTCGTGCAGGTCGAGGCCGATGATCGGCGTACTCCTGGTGGGCGTCTCGTACAGGGTCTTGTTCATCCACTTGAGCGTCTCGTTGGTCCAGGCGTTGTGGTGCTTGGCGAGCCCTAGCCTTGGAGGTAGATACGCGACAATGAAGGTCATGTCCTCCTCGGCGAAGGCGAACGGCTCCTGCGCGTCCTTGAATGCTCGGCGGCGGGCTGGGGAGCGCGGTCACGCACTTGATGCGGTAGCGGTTGCTGATCGTGATGGCCACGCCCGCGTGATGGTTGGTAGGGCCTCTGCCGTAGCCCCCCGTGAAGATTTGGAACTGGTCGACGGGGCTGGTGGGGTCGTGCTGCCTCTGACGTGTGGCTGGTAACGTGGCGACGTCGACTGCACTGAACTGTCTCGAAATCTCCGTGCTTCTTGGTGGCGCGACCATGCTGAGCGGGTTGTACACACCCCCTCGCATGAATGTCATCCAAAGGGTCGCAAGAGAAGAAATATGGATGGCCATCCGCGCTGGCATGACATGAAGGGTGCCCTGAGGGCGGTAGCTGCTCTGCGTGGGGTGCCTGCTGGGCCGCGAAGAATGGGGCTGGAGCAGGACACGGCGGCAGAGGAGGAGGAGGAGGAGGAGGAGGAGGAGGAGGAGGAGGAGGAGGAGGAGCGAGGAGCGAGGAGCGAGGAGGAAGCGAGGAGGAGGAAGGAGGAGCGAGGAGGAGAGAGGGAGGGAGGAAGGAGGAGGAGGAGGAGGAGGAGGAGGAGGGAGGTGGTGCTCTTCGAGTCGTGCTGGCCCGTGGGCGGCGCCGACCCGCCGCCGACCCGCCGCGCAGGACGGCCTCGTCTCTGGTGTGCCCTGCAGGCCCACTGCGCCGGCGGAGCAGCTTCGACGGGGCCCCGCGGAGGCATCTCGCGCGCGCGCTCGCGCCGCGGGAAGGGGGAGGAGGGAGGAGACGGAGTTGGAGGCTCGGAGGACCCAGGTCGGACGCGCTCTCCTCCAGGGTGAGGCGCAGGCGCTTGTCCCGAGCCTCAGCGTCCAGATGCGGGGCTAGATGTGGGAGAAGACCGTGTGCGCGCGTCGGCCCACGCGCGAGGAGACGGAGCTGGAGGAGGAGGGGGAGGAGGAGGCGCGGGGGTTGCTGCGTGGGCACGACACTCCAGGAAACGGGCAACAGGCAGCGGACAACAGGCACCAGGAGGAGGAGGAGGAGGAGGAGGAGGAGGAGGAGGAGGAGGAGCACGTGACGTGTGTGAACTCAAGACTCACCAACGATGTAGGGCTAAACCTGCCTCCCGAGCTCCAAGCTCCCTCTTCATAGGCTCCTACAAGGTTTCATTTCCACCGTGGGAACTGCTCCGTTGGGAGACAGCCGTTTGAATACCTTTAAGCATGCCAAAAACCCATTTCCGGGACTACCGGCACCACAAGTCACCTGACTGTTGCGTCTTGGCGATCTTGAATCTTGCCAGAACACCATTCCCGGGACGTCAACACCGCGAATCAACGTAATTTTCGCGCCCTCGCAATCTAGAGTTCCCCCAAAACGTAATTTCTGGTACCTTGACCATGGGCATCCGTGAAACCATTGCAATTGTTAAAGTAAGGCGATTGTCCGCGGTGCTGACGCGAGATCCACAGTTTGACAAAAAGACACCCTTAGTTGAAACTCTTGTAACTATTGAAACGAACGTAGGCGACGCTAACGTGAGAGCCACATTTGAAAACGAGCCGCCCTCAATCCGTGAAGCCCTTGCAACTTCCTGCAGGATCTTGCAGGATCCTGCAAGGCCTGACTGGCCCGGGTTTCGATTGACCCGGGCCAGTAGATCTCCGAAACCAAGAGGGGGGAACCATGTAGATTCCGACGGTTGGCATTTTGTTTCCCCCGCTCCTCCTCCGTCTTTTCATGCTAGCGTGCAGATTGGGGCCACCATTGCAGTGGTTCTGGCGAGCTTGAGGGGATCTCAAGGGGGAGGGGTCAGAAGTCGTGCACCCTGCTTTTTTCTATGGTCTTGGCCAGCCCGGGGCTGTATTCCAGGAGACGCAAACACGGATTAGGTCAACCACGCGCAGACAGGGGGGCAGGGGGAGGGGAACAGGTTTCTCAGAAGCACTTTTGCTTCTTAGAAGGCGCGGGCCTCATCTACACATGTAATTCTGGCCCGCGCCCTCTAAAAAGCAGACTCCTGCTAAGAAGCCGCCCCCCTTCCCCTGGCCTCTTTGGCGCGCCGCCGAATACAGGCGCATGGATTAGCGACGGCTCCCGCTTCGATGCAAGCTCGACGCGCTCCGTGGCCACATCGGGCGGCACTGACCTGACGTATCGGGGGGTGCTCTGCCCGATCCCTGCATCTGGCCCCCATGCCATGGCCGCGGGCCTGTAATCCGTGCTAGCGTGTGCCCGATGTGATTCGGCCGTTTCGGGCTGTTGTACAGTCGGCCCGGAGTAGTAGGTCGACCCTGCCAGCTCAAGGGTACCTTTGTGTCCCGTGCCTCGCGGCACGTGCCTTCTTACACTCCTGTGGCGATGTGGCCCTCGGAAGGGTCTTGTGTCCTCTCGCGTGCCCTGTCCAATCAAGGCCGACTGTATTGAGGCATTGGTCCGTGGAAATTGTCACAGGCGCAGCTTAACCGAAATATTGTTCCAGCGCTCGGCGTAGACGTTCGAGGGTGATGCGCAAGTGTCGCGGCAGCTGTGCGCTCATGTCCGGCATCTTCTCTCCCCACCCCTTGCGGGGTGATCTCCTCCCTTGCTCCGTCCGCTGGGGGGGATGACGCATTGACCCCACTTCTTTGTCAGTTAGTGCATCTTGTTGCGTACGCATTCCTCTTTTGGGCCTCGGTGTCCAGTAGGCATTTTGGGCCGTCCTGGCGTGGTACTCCTGTGGGTCACGGATGGACCTCGTGACCTTCACACTCGATTAGCAGCGCGGCGCGATGAAAGTGTTAAGGCGCAATCTAGTACTTATTTTAAGTTCGTCACCGTCTCTCGTAACCCCTCAGGGGCAACGATAGGGCGGGATAGGCTCAGGAGGGGATGCATCACCCCCAATCGCCCATTCGTCGCCGACAGGGTCCCGATGGTCCAGGAACGTGCGGATTCGCTATCGGATCTCCATCGCTGATCCGTCGCCGATGCATCGCCGATTCCAGCTAGATGTTTCTCCCCCTGGGCTGGTCTCCCCTGCAGTCGAAACCGATAGCACGGATGGGTCACCTTCCCAAGGGGGGCCTGGCATCCGCGCCTCGGCGGTCCATCCTTGGCTGCCCCGCCCAAAAATCTTCGACATGGGCGGCCAAGGGGCTCGCACCCGTGCCGCGCATCCTTGACGACTTTCGATGGCCAGCCCCGCCCGAAAATCTTCGACATGGGCGGCCACGGGGCTCGCACCCCTGCCGCGCATCCTCGGCGACCTGCGATGGCCAGCCCCGCCCGACGAGCTTCGACCTGGGCGGCCGAGGGCCTCGCACCCCTGCCGCGCATCCCGAGCATCAGCCTCGCCTTGCGGAGGACGATCCACGGAGAGGAAACATGTTGCCAAAGATGCCTAGAACGTGTGTCAAATCTGGTTTCAAAACGTGTTTGGTATGTAACAAGATGTCAACATGTTCAGGGCATGCTTCCGACATTTTAACACATGTTTTTAATTCGATGATCAGACTGTTCGGGTGTCCATTGCCGTGGCATCCGCAAGCCTTGCCTGTGGTGTTGCTCCTCCGCTCCGCTTGGGCCGGGGCAGCCTCGAACTTATCCCTATCCCTAAGATTGACGCGCCAAAAGGCGATGACAATCTTAGGGATGCGCCCTCAAAAAATAAGGGAATCCCTAAGATTGGCATCGTGATGAGGAGATGCCCAGCATAGGGATAGGGATATGTTCCAGGCTTGTAAGGCACGGCGCCCGCAGCCGGGGCTCAAGCCCGGCGAGGAGCCGGGCGCCTCCGCGCTCGCGGCCCCCGCGAGGGGTCCATGCTGGCGGGCCAGCTCGGGAGCGTGCTCGTCAGGGACTCCGTGGCCTCGCCGTCGGGGTCCGGCCTCAAGCGGGGGGCCACCTGCGAGCCCTGCCCCCACTTGGCATCGCTCGTCGGGGGCGGAAAAGAGGGGGGTGATGACTCGGGGGGGGCGATATCATGGCGGGGGCCATGATATTTCCCCAGATCTCATGGCGCCTCTTCTTATTTCATTTTACGTCCCTGGCCCCCCCGCTGGGCCGCGCACATGCCGCCGGTCATGATTTGCACCCCCCCCCTCTTGGACACCCCCCTCTTGGCCGCTCCCGAGCTCGGACGTGTGCATTCTTTTCTCGGCGAGAAGCATCGAGGATTCTCCTGGAGCCTCGAGCAGCAGAAAACGCGCACGAGACCGAACAACATGCACGGGAAACGGACGTCCTGGCGACGGCAAGCCTAGCTCCCACGATTTCTGAGGGGGAGGGTGGGGTTCACTTCGCTCGGGAGTTCCCGAGCGAAGTGAACCCCACCCTCCCCCTCTTACCAGCCTGGAACATATCCCTATCCCTATGCTGGGCACCTCCTCATCACAATGGCAATCTTAGGGATCCCCTTATTTTGTGAGGGCGCATCCCTAAGACCGTCATCGCCTTTTGGCGTGTCAATCTTAGGGATAGGGATACGTTCGAGGCTGGTAACCCTCAGGAATCAGAAGTTTCAGGAGGAAAAGAAACACACAGACACAATTAATCCTCGATTCCCCTGAAGATGTGAGGAAATATTGGAAGTGGGGGGGGAGGCAGAAACCCAGAAAATATAGGAACATATGGGGAACATTTCTATTTGTGTGTCTTTATTTGTGTGTCCTGGGGCCCCTTCAATCTTCGGCGTAGAGGCAGGCTTCGCACGCGGCCCCCTGTCGAGAGCGCCGTGTCGGAGCCCCTCGACCACGTCGGAGACTTCGAGGCTCGGGGCGACCGCAGCGGGTGCAGTCGGGGCGCTGAAGAAGGAACCCTTTTCGTTGGGGAGGGGCTCGGCGTTCCTTGATTGTTCTACAGTTTGCCTTGGGTTTTCCTTGGGGCTTCCATGGGAAATCGCAGTTTATCTCATGGGAAAGAGGGGCCTCGTTCCCTATTTAGGGTTCCTTCGGTCAACGCCCCGACGGTGCGGAAGGAATGGGGTTACAGAGGCCGACAGCCTGTCTTGTTCACCTTTAGGAACGGGACTTGCTGTCGCTGTGGCCACGGACATGGCCCACTTTCGGGCCGGACGAAAGGGGGGATTGGGAAATGGGGGGGGTACGAGATTTGCTGCATGCAGCTGGTTTAGGCCTCACCGAGGGGCTTATTCCTCGATGCATAGCCGCCTCCGGCGCCGGGAGGCGCCGGGAAAATCAGCTACGCGAGCTGATTCTCACCCCCCCCCCTTTGCTATCCCCCTCTTTCGCCCGACCCGACACTTGAGACAGAGGGCCGTCTGCCCAACAGCGGCCGCTGCCACTTCTGGACAACATTGGTTGTTGGGCATCGTACTCCTTTTTCCGTACCCGCCTTCGGGCGTCCACAGAGGCCGTGTGGGACGAGATCGTCCTCTTGCTGAAGAATCCGCCCAAGCAGTTCGCCCTCAAGTCGTCGAGCTGCAGCGTGGTCTCGGACTCCGAGTTCACGGTGGCCAGGGTCCTCGACGGCGCCATCCTCAGGACCCTCGGCAAGCCGACCCCCGACGGGAAGGACGGGGAGGACCTGGTGAGGCATTCAGGGGGGGCTCTACAATGTCCTCCTCCTCCTCCTTCTCCTCCCTCTCCAATTGATTCAGTGTTGCCGGCCGTAGTGCGATGAATCAGGGGGCCTTTTGGCACGCGAGGTGCTCAGCCCAGCATCCGCCGTTCGCTGCCATGCCCTAATTGCTCATGTGCCAGTTGGACACACGGCGTATTCTTCTTCTTGCCTCAGACTTGTTTCGCGTGTCTGTTGCTTCGCGTTCTGGGATGCGTCCTCAGGGCTAACTATCGGGCCCGTTCCGCGGTGCCACGGGTGTGGAATCACGTGTCCAGCCTTCGCCTCCTATTCTTCCCCTGTGTTTGCAGTGGGTTCGTGTCGTGCCGGCTCAGCGGCGACCCTGGCGCGGGTCTTCACGGTTGAACGCCGCTCGTGGCCCAGAGTCGGCCGGTACCGACCGGTCCGTGCTCTGTGCAGTGGCGACCGCTCAAGGTTGAACATTCCCGCGGTGTCAGAAACCAGCGCCGAAGTCATCACGGCACGAAGTTGCCGTACGTTTGAAGGCTTGAGCCCGTTTCTTTACTGCTTGGGGCATGACGGGCGTCATGGCCACCGCTCCCCCCCCATGACGTACAGTCGGCCCAGATGAGTAGGTCGACCTTGCCAAATCAAGGGTACCTTCGTGTCCTGTGTCTCGCGACCCGTGCCTCCTGCAGGGTGACCCTCGGAAGGGTCTTTTGTCCGCTCGCGTGTCCTGTCCAATGAAGTCCGACTGTAACGCTTCCCCCCCCAGTGCGCTCCGGGCATTGCCGCCGTGCGCCTTGGGATCCGCGTAGGTGTCCTCGTAGGAATCCGCATAGGAGTCTGGTCTGCAGTCGTCGTCGTCGTCGTCGCTCGTGGCTCGTGGCACGTCGTTCGTCGCTCATCGTCGTCGTGCGCGCGGACGCGGCTGGAACTTTTTTATTCCAGGCCGATGACGGCAATCATCTGGGGGGGGTGGAGGGGGTCGATGACGTCACGTTACGCACCGGCGGCGTTTGGGATCTGCACCACAACGCCTGTGCACACCACAGTGCCTACGTGCACCACAGCGCATGTGTACACCACACCGCTGTTGTACACCACAGCAGCCGCGTGCAACACAGCGTCAGGCGTCAGTTTGTGCCACCCTGCCTGCAGGCACAACAGCTCTTGTGTACACCGCAGTGCCTGCGCACACCACATCAGTCGTGCGCAACACAGCACCAGTGTGCACCACAATGCCTGCGTGCATTGCAATGCCCATGTACACCACGGCGCCCGCGTGCACCACAGCAACCGTGTGCAACACAGCACCACTGTTGCACATAGAATGTTAGAAATCTTTAGTGACAAAATGGAGCGCTTGCGGGATCCACAGGACACAATAGAAACGAAAACTTATGGACGCAGGAGCGCCGCTGGAATCTACGAGTCCTCCCGAATCCGCCCGCACCACCCTACCTCCTCCCATCTGCGGCCAGGAGGCTCCAGCTAAATTGGCCGTCCGAGGACCAAGGGGACCGATTCAATAGACCATTCTGCGGTGCACGCTGAGATGCGCACGAGCGCTGTAGCGCCAACCCGCACGACAGGGGTTAAGGAGGAGGAGGAGGTGGAGGAGGAGAAAGACCAGGAGGAGGTGGAGGTGGAGGAGGAGGGAGGACGGAATAACGTCGCATTCGATGACCAGCACTTTCCTGGCGTGGCGTTTAGTTGTCCGCAGCAGATCCTCACATTCATGCTCCTTCTACATGCCCTATGCACGCAGGCACTGTGGTGTACACCAGCGCTGCGTTTCACGCAGATGTTGTGGTGTAGACAGGCTCTGTGGCGTGCAGGCGTTGCGGTGCACGCGAGCATTGTGGTGTACACAGGCGCTGTGTTGCACATGGTTGCTGCTGTGTACATATGTACACCGGCGTTGTAGTGTACGCGAGCATTGGATGTACGCAGGTGTACGCGGTGTTGCGGTGTTGCGGTGTACGCAGGCGCGGTGGTGTACACGCGCGTTGTGGTGCACGCGAGCGTTGTTGTGTACACAGGTGCATTGGGGCAGATCGTTACCTACGTGCTGCTCGCGTCGTCGTCGTCGTCGCTCGTCGCTCGTCGTTTTGTCCGATGAAGCAGTGACATCAACTTTCGTAAATGTTCGAGGGCCCGCGCGAAGCATCATAGGTTGATGCGCATGCCGTTTCCTTATTCAAGTGGTTTACTCCAGTCCGCCGGCCCCCAGAACAGGCGGGGAGTCCATTGTTAAGCCGTCGTGGGTTTCTTGGGCACTATCCGGGTTTTTTGGGGGGGCGTCTAGGGAATTGTTTAGGGGCCTGGTGGAGCTTCCTCTTGGAGATACTTTGAAGCGTAGTGGGGCCCCTTTGGGGGCCTCTTTCGGGCCGTTTGGGGCTTGGGGACCTTTTGTTTTGAGTCGCTCGGGGGCCTCTTGAGGCTTCGGGAAGGTCTTTTCGGTCATATCGGATGTTCGGTTCGTGTTCTCTTTCTGGGCTTTTATTGGGGCCTTCTTTGGGCCTCTCGTGGGGCGATATTTGGTCGTCTTGGGTCCCTCTTTTGGCAGTCTTGAAACCTTCTTGGGCCGTCCTGGGGCCCTCGTAGGCGTCTCTTGGGTTGTATTGGTGCGGTCTGCAGGACCGCTTGGGCCGTCTTGGAGCGTCGGAAGCTCGAGAAGACGATAGCTCCAGAAACAATGAAAGAACAAATGAAAACCATTGAGTGTTGTCTTTCGGGGTCCTCTTGGGATGGCTCTTGGGGCATCTCGAAGGCGTCTTGGAGCGTCTTAAAGCCATCGCAGGCGTCTTGGGCCAATCGTTCGGCGATTCGGGACCGTCTTGGATCGTTTTGGAGGCCACGGAAGGCAGATTTGAAGTTCCGGAGTCTCTGGGGGAGGGCCAAGGGGCCCCAATCCCCCTTTTGCGGGGAGGGGGAAATGGGGGGGAGGGAGACAGCCAGTCATCTCACACGCCGTCTCACACCTGGCTGGCGGGGCTCAGCGGAGTCTTCGCTGCGATCCGAGGAAGCCAATCAAGCGCCGATGCGAGGAATCCGCGCGGAGGTTTCAGAGTTTCTGCTCAGGGTATGCCCTCCTGTTCCTCTGATGTGTCCGCCCCCTCTTCCGGCCGCCTCCTTTGCTTCTTCCCCTCCCTCCCGCGTGGTGACACAGCTCGTTAACTGCAACGGTACCCCCATTTAGGTAGCCCTCTGCCAGCGCAGTTGCCCTGCCTAGCCGCCGACGCAGCAAACAAATCCCCTGATGTGCTCCGTGCTCCTCCATGCAGGTGCGGGAAATCCTATTGCCCATATCCTCTGCAGCTTGGGGATTCGGGCTCCCTTCACAGGAGCCCGAGGTGCACTGGACATGGACACATCTGCAGCCTGAGAAGCTCCATGCTTATCTATCTCCAGTGCGCATCGCTCTCGTGGCGCCCCTTTCCAGAGAAAATCCCAGACGCACTGGATGCGGATGCAGCTCTTGCCCGCGGCAGGTACTCCCTCGACAAGGCCAGGGGGTCCATCCGCGCGGAGACCTTCGGCAGGGCCGGCCTCATCCGCGACAGGGACTGGTGCGTCCTGCACCGGGCGCCCGCCCTGCGGCTCGAGTGGTGGGGGGAGGCGCGGGGGGCCGCCCCCGACGGGTGCGGTGGCCCCACCCGGGGGACCGAGCTCCACCACCACGACCATGGGCAGGACGGAGGAGAGGGGGGGGGATGGGGAGGCCCTCCTCCTCCTCTTCCTCCTCTTCCTCCTCCTCCCCCTCCTCCTCCCCCCTCTCCCCCTCCCCCTCCTCCTCCCCCTCGTCCCGCTCCTCGTCCTCCTCCTCCTGGTCGTTCTCCTCCTCCTCCTCCCCCTCCTCCTCCCTCACCCTCCTCCTTCCTCTACCCGTGGTTGTGGTGGTGGAAGATCGGCCCGTCAACACCGCTCAGCAGCGAACATGAAGACGCACGTGCAACTAGACTCATGCACTCTCGCAGGCTTCGAGAGCATGTGCGTCGCGCGACCGTTCGCAACGCAGGCGGCGGCCTCGCGGACGGGGGCGCCGCACTCGTGTGCACGGCGGGCGCGGGCGTTTTCTCTGTGGACGCCCTATAGAGCCGCGTGGTGCGTCCTTGGGGCTCCGGGGTTCGCCGCACGGTCTTTGGGGACTCGGGTCGGTGCCTCCGAGGGTGCCTCGGGCAGCCCGGGGATCTCCAGGGCCCCCCACACCTTGCGGCGTGGCGGGCCCCTCGGTTCGGCTGGACGTAAGAGTGGCCTTTCGCCGGAGTGACCTCTGGTGCGGGCCCAAAAGGGTCCCCAAACCGCCGGACGCGCTTTGGTATCAGCGGCTTGCGCGCCTGGGTTTGGCTCCCCCGCGCCCCCCGAATGCCGCGCACCAAAGGTCACTCTTACCCGGGGTCACTCTGGCGTATAGCCGATCGATGAGGTCGCGGGGGGGTCCGAGGTCACTGCACGGTCCGCCACCGCACCGTTTCGGGACCCCGAAGAGGCCCCCGGCGCGCGCAAGAGCTCCAGCGCCAAGAGCAACCACCTGCAGGCGGCTCTGGAGGCGATCCTCGCCCAGGCGATCGAGAAATCCAACAGACGGCATCGCCGCAAGTCAGGATGCAGCTCCTGGGAGATTCGATTCAGCTTCGCGGCTGGTGTCTCCGTGGTCGAAAACTGGCCTAACTTGGCACGATCCCGTTCAATTCTGCTTAAATCTGGCCTCATCCGGCTTCATCCTGGACCCAGTCATCGCTGACCCGGATCAGCATCCCCGTCATTGGGCCTAATCGCCACCAGTCGTCATGACGAAGGCCTCCAAGCAGTTGGCTCCTGGCACGGGTTTTCGGATGCCTGCGCGGAGATCTGTGCTCGGCGCTGGACCCCCCTTGGTGGCGTTTCCGGCGCCGATGCCAGGGATCCGTGCGGTTCTGCGAAAGTTTGTACGTCCACGCTTCAGAAGGAAAGAAACACACAGACACAATGACTCGTCGATTCCCCAGAAAATATGGGAACATATGGGAAGTGGGGGGGAAGACAAAAACCCAGGAAATATTCGAAAATATGGGGAATCCTGTTATTTGTGTGTATTTATTTCTGTGTCCCAGGGCCCCTTCATTGTCGTGGTGTCTTCCTCTTCAGGTGAAGCCCGGAGGCGCTGGCGCCGGCGGGGTCCGGGTCCTGCCCGACGCGCCTTCCGTGGCCAACCGGGGCCTGAAGAGCGCGGTGTCCGCGCCCCTGGACGACCTGCTCGGCCTCGAGGAGCTGTGGCACGGCTACGTGCGTCAGTGCAAGGCGGGCGCCGAGGTGGAGCAGACCTCGCTCCGGGACTTCACGGCGGTGCGGGAGCAGGAGTCGACTAGACGTAAGAGTGACCTTTCGCCGGAGTTACCTTTGGTGCGGGCCCATTGGGGTCCCCGATCGCTGAACGCGAGGCGGCAGTGGCGTCTTGCGCGCTCGTGTTTGGCCCCCCCGCGGCACCCCCGAAAAGCCGCGCACCAAAGGTCACTCTTACCCAGGGTCACTCCTGCGTGTAGCCGAAGGAGGGCGGCCGGATCACCATGAGGTACCATGCGGACCGGCAGAAGCGCCTGGTCTACGCGGAGACGTACGGCCCGAAGGGGGGCCTGTTCGAGCGCAGGTGGACCGTCTTCCACCAGGACCCGCTGCGGCTGGAGTGCTGGGGGGAGGCCCCCGGCGAGCGGAAGAGCGGCAAGGCGAAGGCCATGTTGCTGCAGAACGTGGTCGACGGGGTCATGTCGAAGAGCAAGAGGGGGCGTCATCATGACTGTTCGGAGGCCCGCGCGGATTTCTTGGGACAGCTCTGGACCTCCCCCCGGCCGCGTAAGCTTAAGTCGGGCGTGTCCCCCTACAGGGGGATTTCGACGAAAAATAGAGAATACCAAAAAATACCCCAAAAAGGTCAACAAATGTTACCAAAAAACGCCCCCAGACTTTTTTTTTTTTTTTTTAAATTATTATTATTATTAATTCTGGGGTATTTTTGTTTTTCGTCGAAAATCTCCCTGTAGGGGGACAGGCCCGACTTAAGCGTAAGCGCGCCAGGGGCGGCGCCGGAGGCGCCGCCAGGGTGGTGGTGCAGACCTCCGAAAGTTCATGTTTGTGCCGCCGGTTGTTCTTCTTGGATCGCTGGGGTTCTGGCCGCGAGGCGGGGCGAAGGCAGCGCCAGCAGCCGAGCGGAGGTCCACGCCAACGTGCCCTCGCTCAACGGGTCGGGGCAGCTCAGCGTGCTGTCCGAGCCCCTGGACGCGCTGGCGAGCTTCCCGGCGCTGTGGGACCGGTGGCTGGACTACCACAAGAGGCTGCCCGGGGTGGCCGAGGTGCGGAGGACGGACGTCACGGTGGCCTCCGAGATCGAAGAAGAGAACGTGGCATGAGCGTGATTCTTCGGAGGGCCGCGCAGACAGGCCAGCCACAACTGGGGGAGCTGTGGTCCTTACCCCCCTAGGGGACCCATCGATTTCGACACCCCTCTCGAGAGATCGTCGATGCGATGGGTTCCCCCAGGGGGGCAAGGACCACAGCTCCCCCAGTTAGGGCTGGTCGGGTAGATTTCTTGGATTTGCGCTGGAGCCTCCATCCCTGGCGTGCGGAGATGTGCGGGGCGCGCGACTGAAGGGGTGGCGCCGGAGGCGCCGCCAGGGGGGGGGTCCGAGCCGATCCGAGGGGTCTGCGCAGAGTTCCGAAAGGTTATGTTTCTGTTGTGTTTGCTTCTTCTGCGGGAGCGAGTTTAAGGTGGTCGCGACGCTAGACGAGCAGGTGCTCCTGTCGCGGGATCCGTCGAGGGCCCCCCGCGAGGACGGCTACAGGGTCGTCAGGTATTCGCTGTGCAGGGCCAGGGGCACCCTGTACGCCGAGACGTGCGGTCGAGAGGGCCGCGTTCGCGAGAGGAACTTCGCCGTGCTGCACAGGAACCCGCTGCGGCTGGAGTGGTGGGGCGATCGGGGGCGGCGTGGAGCGTGAAGGGGGGCTGGCGGCGCGCACCAGGGGGCGGTATATGGGGGAGGGGGGGAGGCTTCTCAGAAGCACCCCTGCTTCTTGGAAGGCGCGGGCCTTCCGGGGGGGGTAGGGGGAGGGGGGAAGGCTTCTTAGAAGCACCCCTGCTTCTTGGAAGGCGCGGGCCTGCCCTGCAGATGTACGGCCCGCGCCTTCTATAAGAAGCAGCATCGGGAGCCTCGAGACGGGGGTCAATGCAAACGGGGGTCAGCCAGAGCGCCAGATCTTGCAGGATCCTGCAGCGCCAGGGTCGCATAGACCCGGGTTTGGGTGCAGGATCCTGCAGGATCTTGCAGTATCCTTCGCATTGACCCGGGTTTGGGTGCAGGATTTTGCAGGACCTTGCAGGATTTTGCAAGGCCTGACTGACCCGGGTCTGGATTGACCCGGGTCAGAAGCTCCCCGACAGCAGCCTCCTGCTAAGAAGCATTCCCCCCTCCCCCTACCCCCTGCTGCGCGCTGACAAGGGGGGGCGGGGGTTGGCTTCAGTCGGGCCTGTCCCTCTACAGGAGGGATAGAAGGAAAGAAACACACAGACACAATGAATAGTCGATTCCCCCGAAAAAATGGGAAGATATGGGAAGTGAGGGGGGAAGACAAGAATCCCAGAAAATATGGGGAAATATCGGGAATCCTTTTGATTGTGTGTGTATTTATTTGTGTGTCCTGGGGCCCCTTCATATTAGAAAAGGATCCAAATATAGTCTGGGGGCTGTTGTAGAGGCCTCCGGCCGGTGCCGGCGATCCGGGACGATCCTGCTGTCAGAAGGACGCTTTCGCCCCAGCGCGCTCGTTCAAACGAAAGTTGTTTGGAAACAGCTGGGAGGCACTGCGTGGGCTTCTTGGGGGGCCTCTACGACGCATCTCCGAGGCCTCCTGGGGGGGGCGTCCTGGAGGTTATTTATGTTGTTTGTTTATTATTATTATTATTATCATTATGATTATTATTTTTCTTCTTATTCTTCTTCTTTTTCTTCTTTAATATCTGGGGATATTCCTGCCTGCCTATTTCTTCTTTCTTTCTCTTTCTTTACCATGCCTATGCCTTCTTTCTCTTTTCTTATTGCCTCTTTTTTTATTTTCCTACACAGCATCCCCCCTGTTGGAATGCCCGACTTCAGGGTCGGCTCGGGGCGGGGGCGGGCATGGGCCCCCAAGGCGCCCAGTCGTCGCCCGAGGGGGGGAGGAGGGGGGGGGGCGGGAGAGCGGGGGGGGGGGGGGGGCCGGGGCCCGCCCGTTCGTCCTTCCTCCTCCTCCTCCTCCTCCTCGTCCTCGTCGTCGTCGTCGTCGTCGTCGTCCTCCTCCTCCTCCTCCTCCTCCTCCTCCTCCCTCTCTCCTTCCTCCTCCTCCTCCTCCTCCTCCTCCTCGTCCTCCTCCTCCTCCTCCTCCTCCTCCTCCTCCTCCTCCTCCTCCCCCTCCTCCTCCTCGGGGGCCCGTCGCGGATCTATCGCAGGAGGGAGAAGCATTTTCGGGAATCCAAACCCGAGTTACCCCGGACCCGAGTTACCCCGGATAGCTCGGGCGCCCGGAGCCCCGAATCATCAGGGGTAAAACTCGGGTCAGGGGTAGTTCGGGTTCCTTTTTCGGGAATCCAAACCCGAGTTACCCCGGACCCGAGTTACCCCGGAGAACTCGGGCGTCCAGAGCCCCGAATCATCAGGGGTAAAACTCGGGTCAGGGGTAACTCGGGTTCCTTTTTCGGGAATCCAAGCCCGAGTTACCCCGGACCCGAGTTACCCCGGAGAACTCGGGCGTCCAGAGCCCCGAATCATCCGGGGTAAAACTCGGGTCTGGGGTAACTGGGGTTCCTTTTTCGGGAATCCAAGCCCGAGTTACCCCGGACCCGAGTTACCCCGGAGAAATCGGGCGTCCAGAGCCCCGAATCATCAGGGGTAAAACTCGGGTCAGGGGTAACTCGGGTTTTTTTCGGGAATCCAAGCCCGAGTTACCCCGGACCCGAGTTACCCCGGATAACTCGGGCGTCCAGAGCCCCGAATCATCAGGGGCAACTCGGGTCAGGGGTAACTCGGGTTCCTTTTTTGGGAGTCCAAGCCCGAGTTACCCCGGACCCGAGTTACCCCGGAGAACTCGGGCGTCCAGAGCCCCGAATCATCCGGGGCAACTCGGGTCAGGGGTAACTCGGGTTTGTTTTTCGGGAATCCAAGCCCGAGCCGAGTTACCCCGGACCCGAGTTACCCCGGAGAACTCGGGCGTCCAGAGCCCCGAATCATCAGGGGTAAAACTCGGGTCAGGGGTAACTCGGGTTCGTTTTTCGGGAATCCAAACCCGAGTTACCCCGGACCCGAGTTACCCCGGAGAACTCGGGCGTCCAGAGCCCCGAATCATCCGGGGTAACTCGGGTCAGGGGTAACTCGGGTTCCTTTTTCGGAATCCGAAGCCCGAGTTCCCCGGACCCGAGTTACCCCGGAAACTCGGGCGCCCAGAGCCCCGAATCATCCGGGGTAAAAACTCGGGTCCAGGGAACTCGGGTTTCGTTTTTCGGGATCCAAACCCGAGTTACCCCGGACCCGAGTACCCCGGAGAACTCGGGCGTCCAGAGCCCCGAATCATCCGGGGTAAAACTCGGGTCAGGGGTAACTCGGGTTCCTTTTTCGGGAATCCAAGCCCGAGTTACCCCGGACCCGAGTTACCCCGGATAACTCGGGCGTCCAGAGCCCCGAATCATCCGGGGTAAAATTCGGGTCAGGGGTAACTCGGGTTCCTTTTTCGGGAATCCAAGCCCGAGTTACCCCGGACCCGAGTTACCCCGGATACTCGGGCGTCCAGAGCCCCGAATCATCCGGGGTAAAACTCGGGTCAGGGGTAACTCGGGTTCCTTTTTCGGGAATCCAAGCCCGAGTTACCCCGGACCCGAGTTACCCCGGAGAACTCGGGCGTCCAGAGCCCCGAATCATCCGGGTAAAACTCGGGTCAGGGGTAACTCGGGTTCGTTTTTCGGGAATCCAAGCCCGAGTTACCCAGGACCCGAGTTACCCCGGAGAACTCGGGCGTCCAGAGCCCCGAATCATCCGGGGTAAAACTCGGGTCAGGGGTAACTCGGGTTTGTTTTTCGGGAATCCAAGCCCGAGTTACCCCGGACCCGAGTTACCCCGGAGAACTCGGGCGCCCAAGCGGTGCGGCTCTCGGGGGCCCGTCGCGGATCTATCGCAGGAGGGAGAAACATTTCTTATTTGATCTGCAGGGCGAGAGCGAGCCCCTTCCCGCTGAAGACTCAGCGGGACGCGCACAGCTTTAAGTACTGTAGCAGAGGAAAGGGCGGAAGAAGGCGGGGCCTCACGCGGCCGGGGGGAGGATTGTTTTCTGCGACTTGTTCACCATTTGGGAGCACTTCCTGCCAATTTCTGTGATCTTGCTTCCAGAACCCGCCCGTAGGAGGACATGCGCCTGATCCCCGGGCTTCGCCCGCTCCTGGCCGCGTGAAGCCCCGCCTTCTTCCGCCGCTTCTCTGTAATTCAAGCTGCGCGCGTCCCGCTTAGCTTTCAGCGGAAGAGTTTCGCTCTTGCCCTGCATATCAAAACAACTGTAGGAGGGCATGCTCGACCTGACCCTAAGCTGCTCCCCCCCCCCCTACCTTGTGGGCGAAAAAACATCCGCCTCCACGGCCTCGCGGCCCGGGGCTCCCGGGCCGCAGCGCCGCGGCTAAGCGGAACGTTTTCTGAGAGGCTGCCCCCGCGCGGAGCGCACCTCCGTGCGACCGCGCCTCCGTGGGATCGCGCGGGCGGGTGCGCGCGCCCCCCCCCCCCAAAGCTGGCCCCCCCTCCCCTACAGTGCCGTTTTTAATCCATGCCCCCCGTGCGGATCATGTATTCAGAAGGCAGTGAGTTAGTATTCAAAACAACGATGAGTTCATGCATAGATTTGTTCCTACATTCATCATGTATTAGAGATCCCATGTTTTCAGAAATCCTACGTATTAGAAACTGCCCTGTAGCGTTGCCCCTGGAAGGCGAGACGCCGGGGGAGAGGAAGTTCGGCGCCGCCCGCGGTGCGCTGCTCTCCGCGATGCTGGAGGCGGCGCTCCCGGGGGAGGCCCGCGCGGGCGTGGAGCCCTCGGGGGCGCCCGGGAGGGTCCGACGTGGACGAGGAGGCCTGCCCGCAAGGCTCATCCCCTCATCTCATCCCCCTCACTTCCTCCCCATCTCCCCTATACCACCCTCATCTCCTCTCCTCCTCCTCCTCCTCCTCCTCCTCATCCTCCTCCTCCTCCTCCTCCTCCTCCTCCTCCCCATCTCCCTCATCTTCGCTCGGGGGGCTCGTCCTCCTCACCCCCTCCCCCTCCCAGCCGGTATTTCGAAGCTCGGGCTCTGCCGAGCGACGGTACCCAGTGCACAAGTGCACTCGGCCGACTGTGCCCAGACCCGCGCCTGGAAACCAGGGTACCCCTGGCCCATGGTGCCCCTGGCCCATGGTGCCCCCCCTGGCCCATGGTGCCCCCCCTGGTGCCCCCTGGCCCATGGTGCCCCTGGCCCATGGTGCCCCCCCTGGCACATGGCCCATGGTGCCCCTGGCCCATGTGCTAGAAGTCCCCCTGGCCCATGGTGCCCCCCCACGGATTTCCAAGGAGGGCCCCACGGCCTCTTCTTTTTACTTTCCGCTACGCAAGCCCGAGGTGAACATTTGTGGTTTTCTTGATTGGGCTTAAACTAGACGCGTGCACGATTCAGTTCACAGTGTACCTGGCGGGCGCCCCCTACTCCTTCTCCTCCTCCTCCTCCTCATCCTCCTCCGCCGCCTCCTCCTCCGCCTCCGCCTCCGCCTCCTCGTCCTCCTCCTCCGCCTCCTCCGCCTCCGCCTCCGTCTCCTTTCTCCCACCTCCCTCGGCCCATGGTCCATGGCCCTCCTCCTCCTCCTCCTCCTCCTCCTCCTCCTCCTCCTCCTCCTCCTCCTCCTCCTCCTCCTCCTCCTCCCCGTAGCCATTTTGGCTCAAGATGGCGACCTGGGGGGCTGTCCAGCCTCCAGGCCGAAGGGAGACCTCTGGACCGAGGACAGTTCCCAGACGGGCGTCGGGCGCGCGCGCGGCACTGCTGCAGCCATGGGGAGTGGCAGCGGCGGACGCGGGGCGGGCAGCGCCTGGTCGGGGACCCCGAATCGCCAGAGAGTGCCCCCGTGGAAGAGGAGCAGCAGTGGCAGTCGCCCTCCTCGCAGCAGCTACGTGGTGTGTGACGGGTGCAGCAGATGGCGCTACTGCAAGAACATCACCAGCAGGGGCGACCTCTGCATCTGCGGCAAGAATCTCGCCTGCCTCGTCCCTGACGGGCACGTCTTCCGTGACGAGGATGGTGGGTGGGTGGCAGCACAGCCCCAAGGAGGAACCTCGCCCAGGATCAGCTGGGCAGATGGTTGGCAGCCAGGAGGTGGTGCAGGCGGGAAAGGGCAAGGAGGCCAACGCCAGCCACCACCTCACGACAAGACCGCCGATCTCAAGGCCGCAGCTGCAGCAGCATACGGCAAGCTCAGCAAGGACGACCCGCTCAAGCAGCACTACGAGGCCCTCTGGCCAGAGCTCGCCGCAGCCAAGCCACCAGCAGATCAACCAGTCGTTGGATTCAAGGCAGTGGAGGCAGCAGCTCGACGCTTGGACAAACTCCAGAAGAAGGTACGATCGGCAGGGGAGCAAGTGGAGAGTGCCCAGCAGTACTTGGCTGAGAGTGAACGCAAGCTTCGTGAAGCTATGGAAGCATCCATTGCAGCAGAAGATGAGTTCGACAAGCTCAAGGCCACAGTCGGCAAGCAAGAGGTACCAGCCGAACCCGCAGCCGAGAAGCCAACGCTGGCAGCCCTCCTGGAGCAGTTCGAGCACGAGCCTGACGACTTCCACAAGTGGTCCGAGCCAGACAAGGAGGTCTGGCGAGCTGCAAAGGCCAAGGGTGAGCGCATGGCCCAGACGGTCAAGGAGCACGAGGAGGAGACGGCGAAGCACCTGCGACTTCTGGAGGAAGAGACGGCCAGGCACCAGGAGCAGCTGCGCCAGCTCGAGCAGGCCCGCACCAAGCGCCTGTCAAAGAGCGGAGAGCAAAACCCAGAAGCAGGAGATGCCCCACCAGGCAAGCGTGTCTGCGCTGCCAGCCCAGCCCCTCAGCGAGGAGCCACCACGGGCGCTGAGGCAGCAGGGTCAGCTGCTGCGGCTGCGCCTAACGGCGCCGCGGCAGCTGCCCTACCAGAAGCAGGTGCAGCAGAACATGACAAAGCAGAGGAACGCCGAGCTAGAGTGGAGGCCCACATCCAGGAGGCGCGAGAGAAGGTCTCGCAGGCCAGGCGCGCCGAGACAGTCGTCGACGCAGAAGGGCAAGGTGACCACTCAGCAGGGTAGCCGCCCCAAGGCGAGCACGAAGAAGGCTCGCCGCCCTTACCACATCGACTTCTTCAATGTCACGACCTGGGGCCCCCAGGCACAGGGCTACCTCGTGGAGATCAACGACGCCAAGGACAGGGACATCATCGGCATCGCGGAGCACCACCTCCGCCAGCCTGCGCAGATAGGCAAGGCAAGAGCGGCGCTCAGGAGGAAAGGCATGCACAGCTACTGGACCAAGGCACGGCCAGGAGAAGGAGAAGGCACTCGTGGAGGAACGTGTGCCATAACGCGAGGATCCTTGGACGTCCAGGACAGGATCGCGGGCTTCGACGAGCACTACCTGCACGAGGACGGCAGCGACGTCGCGGTGGTGATCTCCAACCTGCACAAGGTCCGCTTCGCAGTGGCCTTCGTCTACCTCGAGTGTGGGACGGGCTTCGGAGAGAGGAACGTCGACATCCTCTGCGACCTGCGGGAAAAGATGGCCGTCTGGGGAGGGCCATGGGCAGCGCTGGGGGATTTCAACATGACGCCGTCGGAGCTCAACAACAGCATCTGGCCCAGGGTGCTGAATGCTCAAGTAGCAGCGGCGGAGGATGGCGCCCCCACGTGCTTCCCAGCAGGAGGCGAAGCCAGGTGCATCGATTTCGCGCTGATCTCGCAGGGCCTGGCGCCGTATTTTGACCAGCTAGAGCTGCTCAGGACCGTGCCGTGGAAGCCGCACATTGGCATCCGCTTGAAGCTGAGAGGGCGGCCTCTAAAGCTCAAGGGCAGGGTGCTTCGCAGGCCAGCAGCCATAAAGCCACCAGTCGCAGTTGAGAGAATGCCGAAGTCCAGAGCCGCTTGCAGGCGAGCGGCGCGAGGAGGCCAGGAGGCCATGCGCCGACGTCAGCCAGCGTTGGCAGAGGCAGGATGCGACCGGGAGGGAAACGACATGGAGCCAGTGCCGCAGCTGTACTACGACAAGGAGGTCCAGCACGTCATCCCTGACGAGCTGTGGCAGGCCACCTCCGAGAGGGTCAGCTTGCGTGTCTACGATGAGTTGCCCCAGCACTTGCAGCGCACTGTCGTCGGCAAGATGATGGAGCGGGACATGCTGGATCTGGGGCAACAGTACGACCGCTTCGCTAGCGCACTCGAGCTCAGCCTGTGCGAGAGCATCGGCATCCCAGAGGAAGATCGAGGACGTCATCTCGGGCACAGCAGGCCCCCGAGCTACAAGAGCGCGAGCATCAAGGACACCGTCACCTCTACGCCATGGGCAGGGTCTGAAAGGAAGATCCATGCGTGGTGGGCGGAGATCTCCTCCTTGGTGCGGCAGCTCTCGCACCACGACGCCCGAGCGCAGGAGGCAGCGGCAAGACGACAGAGCAAGACCCAAGCACGTCCCGATGAGGACTCGGGAGGAGGACAGGGCCCGTTGGAGCTGGAGCTTGGCCCTGTCATTTTGGGCAGCCAGGAAGGCCACGAAGAAGGCGACCCTGCACCAGCCTTGAGCCCATCGAAGAGCTCGGGAGGAAGCTCGGTGGAACGCTCCCCCACCGAGCGGGGCAAGGGCCCCCCCGAGCTGCAGCAGCGGAGCGCAGGCAGTGGAGGCGCAGCAGGAGGCGTCCCAGACCTCCACGTGGGGCATACCCACAGCGCCGCAGACAGTTGCCCAGAAGGGATGCAGAGGGGTGCCCTTCCCCCACCAGCAGGGCGCAACACCATGGACATCCAAGATCACGACCCCTTCGAAGATGAGGAGGAGTACTTGGAGTACCGCCAGGAGATCGCAGACCAGGATAACAGCGGTGGGCACCACCAATGCATCGAGGGGCAGCAGGCCAGCCTCGAGTCCAGCCAGACCGCTCGCCGTCGAGCAGCTGGACCTGACTCTCACCCACCAGCAGGACGCAGCACCATGGACGACCAAGACCACGACCCCTTCGAGGAAGAGGAGGACCGCTTCCAGAACCGCCAGGAGACCGCAGACCAGGAGGACTGCGATGGGTACCACCAGCGTATCGAGGGGCAGCTGGATGGCAATGGCCACGGCCAGACCGCACGTCGTCAGGCAGCTAGATCTGGTGAAACCGCCCCAGGTGACACGCACTGCTCACCTCCTCAGCCAGCTGGCACTCTGGAGGCAGAGGGTACCGATCACCTGAGGAGTCAGAACCAAGCGCCGCCAAGCCCAGAGGCAGATGAGCAACGAGATATGGGCCTGCCCCCTACAGACCCCTGGAATGATGACCAACACCAGCGGGAGCGGGAAGACTACGTGGCCATGAGAGACGACCTGGAGTACTGGGCGGCCATCTGGATGGATAACTTGGTGCAGCTCCCCACGGACAACAGCAACTGGATGCAGATCTGCGTGCCGTTCCTGGAGACCATCCTGGGGGGCGGAGGCAACAATGGCATGGTGAGACTGCTCAGACGTTGGTACCAGCAGGCCGGCCTCAGCCACATCATCAGGGACCTCTGCGAGCGAGCATGGAGACATGCAGAACCACGACGCCGAGGCTTTCTCCAAGGACTTGCGCGAGAGGTGCCGACGAGGAGGCACGAATTGGAAATGATGCACTGGAGGGAGCTCGCAAACCTGCGGAGGTTCATGCGAGAAGTCATAGGCGAAAGAGCACCAGAAGGAGCAGCGCGAAGACAACTACATGATGCTCCAGGTACAGGCAGTGGCCAGAGCAGCCGCCGAGAGCAGCAGGTCCGCACCCACAGTGACCGTCAGACGCAGCAGCAGATCAACACAAGACAGCAGCTAGCGCAGCAGCTCAACCAGCCTGACCCAGGCAGGCTGAACGATGAAGGTGCAGCCAAGGACCAGCAGCAGGCCCTCCTCGCAGACCTGCACGCCATAGCAGAGGGCGCCCTCGTGGACCCAGGGACGATCAGCAGGGTAGCAGAGGAGGTAAAGAGCATGGCCAAGCTACTCACAAAGGCGGTGAAGAAGGCGTACACCCACTGGGTGCATGACGCCACGGCTGGCAGTGCGAAGATGGCCCACGCCTACACCAAAGCAGCAGAGCGCAGCCATCTGGAGGACATCCTAGAGCACGAGGGCCAGATCATCAACCACCCGCAGCAGCTGGTGGACCTGCGCAAAGAAGCATGGCAACGCAGGTGGACACGAGATGCGCATAAGGCTGAGAGGATCCAAGAGGCGCTGGCCAAGCTGAGGCAGGCTGCCCTGGCCCAAGAGAATGCCCTCGAGCCCATCAGCAAGGACATCATAGGCTCCATCATACAGCACCTGAAGAGCAATGCAGGCCAAGGAGCGGACTGGTGGAGGGCTCCAGAGCTCAAGGCCATGGGAGCCCAGGGGCTGGAAGATTTCGTGCAGTGCCTGACCAGCTGTGAGCAACGGGCAGCCTGGCCGTGGCAATTCTACCTGGTGCTGGAGCTGCTGCTGGGTAAGAAGCCAGGGATCGGGGGGAGAGCGCCCCATCGGCCTCATGCCCATGCCGTGCCGCATCTGGAGCGCAGCCAGGAGGCCCATAGTAGCCACCTGGAGCAAGGCAGCGGCGAGATTCTGGGATACGGCAGTAGCTGGCTCCTCAGCGCTACGAGTGGCAATGCACAGGCTTATGAGGGCAGAAGCCGCCACGGAGATGGGCTTTCATGCAGCAGGAGTGTTCTACGACGCGGCAAACTTCTACGACAACATAGGCCTCGACCAGCTGATCGAGAAGGCCAGTGCCCTCCAGTACCCGTTGCTGCCGCTGGCAATGGCCGTGCAGATGTACCTTGCGCCCAGGGCCATCATGGCCCACGGCCTCTTCTCGGACATCTTTGAGCCTGCCAACAGCATGGTAGCAGGCTGTGGCCAAGCGGTAGACCTCACCAGACCGCTCTTGTATGGTATCCTGGATGCAGCGCACAGGCACCATATCTTCGTCGTCATGCAGCAGTACCTGGACGACTTGGCCCTGCAGGTGGAGGGCGCGCGGCGGCAGGTCATTGACCAGATCAAGCACGTGACGGCGCTGGTGCACGATGGTTTCAAGCAGCTCGCGATCCCCATCTCAGTCAAGACGGCAGTGGTGGCCTCGGACAAGGACCTCCAGGCAGAAGTCGCCAGCATCCTGGACAGCCTGGGCACCCCCAACAAGCAACCAGGGGTAGTGCGCGACCTCGGCGTGGACACCAGCCTTGGGAAGCAACTGCGGCGACCCACCCATGCCGCGCGCCAGGCCAAGGCCAAGCAGAGGGTGGCCAAGCTCAGGGACCTGGCGAAGACGGACGCCAGAGGCGCGGCAAAGGTCTATGCAGCAGGTGCCTACTGCCAGCAGGCTTGGGACTTACCAGCGCACGGCATCACGCCCACGGAGGCGAAGTTGGTCAGGGCAACGGAGGCAGCGCTCCTCACAGGCGGACACAAGGCTGGACGCTGCACGTCCACCATCCTCCTGATCCAGAGGGGTATGCAAGAGGCAGTAACCCGAGCCATCGGCGACCAGATCAAGCAGTTCTGGCTCACCGTAGTCGACCACCCGACGGAGCTCAAGAGGTACCAGAGGGGCTGGCTCCTGCTCTACGCCAAGCTGGGCGCCCTGGAACCCAACCGCAGGTGGCAGCAAGTCAAGGGGCCCATGGCAGGGGTCATTGTGCAGTTGCTTGGGTTAGGCTGGATACCGCGACGCCTGGACAGCTGGATCAGCCCAGCAGGCGACGAGTGGGCCTACAAGCCAGATGACATTCCCCACTTCGGCGCGCTCCTGCATGAGGTCCAGCAGAGCGCGCAGCAGCAGCTCTGGCAGCAGGCAGCTGGTCATCGCAGTGGAGAAGGACTTCAGGCTGGAGGCGACCTCTATCAGCTGCAGCGCCACCTGAGAAGAAGGAGGCGTAAAGGACAGCATGCAGAGGCAGCAATGCTGGAGACCATAGCGGTGGCAGGCATCTGGACCAGGGAGCGTCGCAGGGCGGCCAACCTCAACCAAGAAGGCGATGACGCCTGCGCGAGATGCGGCGAGGCGATAGAGACAGAGGAACACCGCTACTACGCCTGCCCTGCCAACGCAGAAATAGGGCACAGCAATGACACCGACCTGGCGAAGAAGGCGAAGGACGCGCTGGACCAGCGGCAGGACCTGCACTTCTGGCTCCGAGGCATCCCGCCAGCGGCCTGGGCAGCCAAGGTCGACCCAGACGAGGACGCGGCGAGGGCGGCGCAGATCTTCTGCACCAGTGAAGAGGCACAAGCTGCAGCCCAGTCAGGGCACAAGGTGCGAGCAGACTATGTTTTTACGGACGGCTCAGGTGGTGCAGGGGAAACGGCCAGGGACCCCCGCCTCAGACGCTGCGGCTGGGCAGTGGTGGCATTCAGGTTCGACGAACAAGGTCGTCCGCAGGAAGTGGCTGCCTGGTACGGCACAATCAGGGCACCGCACACGGTGCCACGGGCAGAGCTCACCGCCATGAGCAAAGCCATCGGCTACACCACGGCGGCGACAGCCAGGGGGCTAAACATAGTCAGCGACTGCAAATACGCCCTGGACGCACTCACGCAGATCCAGGACCCTGAGGATCTGGACTACAGGAGCACGAACTACGACCTCTGGCTCCAGACGAAGCAGCAGCTACAGAACAGCAAGGACACCATCATGGGCCACCACATCCCGAGCCACCTTATTGAGCACCCAACAGAGCTGGAGAGGTGGAATGGTCCCACCTGGTGGGTCATAGGTAACGAGATGGCGGATAAGTACGCAGGCTGGGGGGCGGAGCACGGAGCACTGGATCCAGCTATCATCGTGCAGCAGCAGATCAGAGACCAGATCACCATGGCGGTGCAGAACAGGCTGCTGGCCATCAACATGGCGGTGATGGTGGAGGACCCCAACAAGGCCCCTCAGCGTCCCAAGGCCAAGCGGCGACCGCCGCAGACGGCGAGGGACAGGGCAGCCCAGCAGGGACACGACCTGCGAAAACTACATCCGCGATGGTGGTGTGCAACGTGCCGCAGTGGCCCAGCCAAAGGACAAAGCATCAGAGACTGGTTGGCAGAGACGGGAGAATGCCTCGGGAAGTACGGCGGCCACCAGGACCAGCACGGCAACGTCAGGCTCGACTTCAAGGCGGTGCAGATCGGCACGCAGGTGGTGCACGGCTCCCACAAGACGCAGTACACCCATGGCTGGCTCTGGTGTGAGAAATGTGGCGGCACTAGCTACCTTGGGGACCACAAGAGCAGGATCGTGGCAGGAGTGGCAAGGAAGCTGGCAAGGCCATGTCAGCCCCCAACAGCAGCAGGGAGGAGAGTCTTGGAGAATATGCAGAGGGGCAAGCTGCCTAGAGGAGCTAAGCCAGCAGCAGACCCAGCTGATGAGGGTCTCGACGAGATCACCATGCCAGGTGGCTTCAAGCTCGGCCTGAGCAACCACGAGGTGATCGATCTGGACGGGGACAGCTCAGAGGCAGGGGACCCGCAGCTAGCTCCGCAGCAGCCGCCCAGCCATCCGTACTCTGTCGTCCACGCCAGCTTGAGGCTCGTCGACCACATGGAGGGCTACGCAGAGCTGTGGATGAACATGGTCGACCAAGAGGTCTGGGACGACATGGACGACTGGATGGAGCACTGCGTACCGTACCTCTTGGCCATCACCAATGTGGGTGGCAGAACGGACACGCAAGAGCAGACCAGGGCCGTCACCGTGCAGGAGATCCAGCAGATAAAGGACTTCTGCGAAGAAGTCTGGCGCAACACGCACCGCACGCGACGGAGGCTCATGACCAGGATGCTTACTCTCCCGCATGGCACATGGCAGCAGGCAGCCAGAGTGCACATGGACGCCTTCCACAACAGAAGGAACAACATCATGGCGCACAGCATCCCCAGCAGTGAGCGCAGGCCGCTGCCGAGAACAGCGGAGGCCAGCCGAGAGTGGTCACCAGAGAACCTGGACGATGATGACTCGACCCCAGACAGTGAAGCCCCAGAGCTGGAGGGTGAGCCGAGCAGCCAGGAGATGGAGACCATGGCGGGACCTGATCAGAGGCACGACGCCAACAGCCTGATGCAGACGGCAGTGCAGGTGGCAGTAACGCTGACCAAGCCAGTAGGGCCCGACCTGATGAAGTTCGTGAGCGAAGCTGACGAGGCCGGCTTGCTCCACCCAAGGCTTCGACACAACAAAGGAGAAGCCGACCAGGACCCCGAGCAGGAGGTGGCGTGGCTCGAGAGGAACAGGCTCGAGCAGCTCATGCAGTCGCTGGCAGGCTGTTGGAGCCAGAAAGAGGGCGAGCCGGGCTGGCCATCGTGGCAGGCCGCGTGCGTGCCCCATGTGATGAGGGCGCTGCAGACTGGAGTCTATCAGAGGCTTTTCAGCCATGTGTCAGGGACGAGCCGCCAGCGCAGCCAGCGCCGAGCGGCGGAGGAGATCTGCCGCCTGGCATGGCTCAACAGCGGAGAGGAGCGTAGACAGATCCAGCAGCAGGACCCGAAGGAGGCAGAGCGGCGCAGAGCAACGGCTGAGCAGATCCTGGGCGTGACTGAGCCAGAAGTGAGGAGCCGCAGCCCGCGACCACGAGCAGCAGGGCGAGTACCAAGCAGGGCTCCAGCCACACAGCCGAGGAGGCCCCTGTGCGGAGAGGGGACAGGCCACCAAGGACCCCTGCGCGGCGAGGGGTTAGGCCGAGGAGGACCCCAGCGTGGCGAGGGGTTAGGCCACAGCCCTGCGCCAGACGGGATGCAGAGGGGTGCCCGTCCCCCACCGGCAGGACGCAGCAACATGGACATGGCAGACCTCGACCACTTCCCTGAAGAGGAGAACAGAGAGGACAGCCCCCAGCAGGACGAAGACAAGCAGTGCAGCGATGACAACCACCAGCAGTTCCCAGATGCACAGCACAGCATAGGGTACCACCTGGCAGACCGCAGAGGACCCCAGCGTGGCGAGGGGTTAGGCCACGGAGGACCCCAGCGCGGTGAGGGGTTAGACCGCAGATCCAAAGGCAAGCAGAGGATCGAGGCGGAGGTCCCTGACGAGCCCAGTGAGCATGACGCGGACGTCTTGACCAACAGTGTGGTAGACAGGACCTCGCAACTAACAGAGCGGACCCATGCCCTGGGAAACCGACAGACTGAACGCGAGGGGGAGGGCTTGGCCCGCGGATACCACGTGAACCGCGAACACAGCGAGAGGCATAGTCGGGGGACCTCGCCTCAGCCAGAGTGCATCAGCACCGAGGATGGGGACAGTACGAGACTCGGCGATCCCCCGCGCGGCGAGGGGTTAGGCCACAAAACAGCGCAGCCTGAGAAGGCGGCAGACTACGACGATACAGACCTGCAGCGGGACTTGAATAAGATCGTCGGCGACCCACCCCAGCGCGGTGAGGGGGTAGACCGCAAGGCACCCCTGCGCGGCGAGGGGTTAGGCCACGGAAATCCCCTGCGCGATGAGGGGGCAGGCCGCAGGACCAAAGGCAAGCAGAGGCTTGAGGCGGACGCCTATGACGTGCCCAATGAGCAAAACGCGGACCTTTTGACCAACAGTGTGGTAGACAGGACCTCGCAACTAACAGAGCGGACCCAAACCCTGGGAAACCGACAGTCTGAACGCGAGGGGGAGGGCACGGCCCGCGGATACCACGTGAACCGCGAACACAGCGAGAGGCAAAGTCGCGGGACCCCGCCCGAGCCAGGGGGCAGCAGCACCGAGGATGGGGACAGTGCAAGACGCGGCGTACCCCCGCGCGGTGATGGGGTTAGACCGCAGCAGGCCCCAGCGTGGCGAGGGGTTAGGCCACGGAGTACCCCAGCGCGGTGAGGGGTTAGACCGCAACGATCCCCAGCGTGGCGAGGGGTTAGGCCACGGAGGACCCCACAGTGGAGAGGGGACAGACAGCAGCAGGCCCCCGCGTGGCGAGGGGTTAGGCCACAAGGGGCCCCAGCGCGGTGAGGGGCTAGACCGCAACAGGCCCCTGCGTGGCGAGGGGTTAGGCCACGAAGCACCCCAGCGCGGTGAGGGGTTAGACCGCAGCAGCCCCCAGCGTGGCGAGGGGTTAGGCCACGGCTTTCCCCAGCGCGGTGAGGGGTTAGACCGCATTGACCCCCGGTGTGGCGAGGGGTCAAGCCACGATGGGCCCCAGCGCGGCGAGGGGTTAGACCGCGACAGACCCCAGCGTGGCGAGGGGTTAGGCCACCACGGAGCACCCCAGCGCGGTGAGGGGTTAGACCGCAACAGGCCCCTGCGTGGCGAGGGGTTAGGCCACGGAGCGCCCCAGCGCGGTGAGGGGTTAGACCGCAGCAGCCCCCAGCGTGGCGAGGGGTTAGGCCACGAGTATCCCCAGCGCGGTGAGGGGTTAGACCGCACCGACCCCCAGCGTGGCGAGGGGTTAGGCCACGGAGGACCCCTGCGCGGCGAGGGGTTAGGCCGCAACGCGCCCCAGCGTGGCGAGGGGTTAGGCCACAGCTCTGCGCCAGGCAGGGAGATCGAGAAGGCCCATGAGTCCAGGGACCAGCAGCCAGGGCGGTCCCTGGAAGAGCGCAGAGCGGAGGAGCGGCAGCGGCCGTCCATCAGGCTGCTCCTCAAGCTCTGAGGTGGGCAGCGGCAGCATTTCTTCAGACTGCCGCTGCTCTCGGGGCGACTCCATGAGTCACAGAGTGGCGGCAGTAAGACGCCGTGAGATGAGGCCGCCGGCCCACCCCGCCTCGGGCCTTTCGGCCCGCGCGGAGTGACGAGACCAGGGGCACCCACTCGCGGGCGGGTACACGCGGGTTTAAACTCCTCCTCCTCCTCCTCCCCATCTTCTGCCTCCTCGCCCTGGCGTGGTGCTGGGCCACGGGGGGTTGGGGGAGGTTCTCTCTGTGTTTTGGACGCTTTCTCGCC